AAAAAATAAAAAAAAAAAAAGAAAAAAGAAAAAAAGAAAAAAAAATATTAGTTTTTAGGTAGTTTGGTTGTGTGACCTTGTTAAAATGCTAATAATATTTGGTAACAAGCTTTTAAAATCAGCTTTTCAGTGGAACTGCTAAAATTGAAAATGCTACCTTTTTGGAGTTTTTTATTTTTTTTTAAAAAAAGGTAAATGTCCATATTTCCCAATATTTTTCTTGAACAAAAGTATGAAGTATCTTCTCATAAATCTCTTACGCATTTGATAATGAAAAACAAAAAATAACAAAAATTGGCAAGTTGTAAGATTGAAAAGTGATCCATTGGGGTTCGCGGGGTCGTGTATGTCCTACGCAGCTGCGGGTCACGCGGGAGCTTGCAGTCGGGGTCCGACTGGGCTGCAGTGCGTCGCGGATGGCGTGGGTCGCGTCCGAGCTGCATCGCGGATGGTTGCGGTCGCAGGTGGCTACGGTCGTTGACATCGGGGCGCATGGTGGCAGTTGGCTACTGCACATGGTGGCAGCAGACGGTGGTGCTCGAGATTCTCGGGTTTACCTCAGGACTTCTATTGTATGAACCTTACACACTTTGTTTGTCTTGGTGGGAAACTCACATAGTTATCTCTCTATCAAGTGATTAAAATCGTAAGACGATGTGTGTATTTGCAGGCTACAATTGGAATCTTAAGGAGGTGCAAAATATGGGTTTACCAAGTATAGACCTAACTGTGGGTCAAGCCTACTATGCTCATACTTGAACAATATATCTGTCCACTACAGAAATATCGCTCATCTCCTAATTTGGCTCCTAAATTATAATTTGAAACTCCAATAATAATTACTCGATTTATCTCCCAAGTTTGAGATATAATATTTGTCAAGCAATTAATTACAAATAACATAATTAATTGACTTCTTATGCCGAGACTGTTAGTGTTATATACTGAAAGCTTGGCTTTGCATGTTATTACACATTTACCCTTTATGAATGAGAATCATGTTAGATTAAACAAGTTCTACGTTCTGTTGTTCTGCACTTAGATAGGGTGGGTCGTCATCGGGCAAACCGAAGATCACTGTATCAGTCACTTGCGAACAAGAATAGTTGTTCACAACCTAGATGGACATGAACACCCCATCCGAACGGTTGTAGTGTCAACTGTACAGTTTGTCTTGACTGATTAGTTGCACTAGTACATTTATGTATTGAACAGGAACCTAGAGAGGAGAAGTTCATTTTATACTGATCGTCGTAAATGAACTAGGCCTCGGTTAATTACTGCGTTCTCTTAACCCGTAAGATATTAAACAGGCAGATATATATAATATATATTACTTTGATTCACATGGGTGAGGTTCAGTTCGCTGGATTAATATTCCTACTGTTTTGGGTAATATTATTATATATATGATGTGCTGTTAGGATATTTACGGTCACCATGTGCGTTAGTTTGATGATGTCCCCGGAGTGAGTTCATGAAAGATTGTTATGTTAAACCCTGCAGGTGGATTAAATTCCGGCATAATAAGAATGTGATGAATGAGCGCTAGCTTCGGTGAAATAATAATAAATTAATTAATTCTTGATTGTCAGTAATCGAATTAATTAATAGGCATTATATCTTAAACGTGGGGAGGTAAATCGAGTAATTATTATTGGAGTCTCAAATGTAATTTGGGCTAGGGAAAGGGAGTGCAATAATATAATGTTGGTGGCCCATTAATATTATTTAATTAATTAGAGGAGTGGGTTTGGCCCACTGTTAGTCTAATTAATTAAGGAGCCCTTTTTTCTAATCTCCTTAGGGTCCCTACTGTAGCTCCATATATACATCATTAAGCTCATGAGAAGAGAATCCCAATCTCATATTCACGTGATACACGCATCCCATCTCTCTCTCTCTAGATCTCATTCGAGCTTTATCTTCTTCTTGTTGCTCCACTGGTACAAGTTGAAGAAGGGTGTATTGAGTAATACAGTAGAAGATCTGTAGGTAAACCGAGACGAAATAGATTTTGACCTACAGAACTAACCGGAAGTCCGATTGAGACGTAAAGTATACCCAGACGACCGTCTCGATGAGAGCTTTCCATCGCCGCCGACGTCGCCGGAATCCGATGCCGCACGCGCCCTCACGCGCCGCCGGAAGATGTCTGGCAGCAAAATTTCGTTTTGATCTGTTTGCATCCGTTTGATCCAGTTTTGATCTGATCTTGTTCGTGCAACCCAAGACGCGTGTTGCGGTCAATCAATTGCGGTCAACCGTTCGTGGTCAACCAGATCTACATAAATTTTAAGCCGTAAGTTCTCTACGTCAAACCTTTAGATCCGCTGCGCATAGGTTTACGTTTGTTATTGAATTCGTGATTTGTACATAACGAGATCCTCACAGATCCCAACAGAGACTAGTACCACTCAAAGCTTTATTATTATGCTGGAACTTAATCCACCAGCAGAGTTTAACATAATAATTCTTCTTGAGCTCATCTTGGGGATATCATCAGATTATTGCATACAGTGACCGCAAATAATCAAACAGCACACCATACATACAGGATCACTAGTGTAACCAATCAATTCAAAACGAACTTATCTTCTCTGGGATCGTTCAATGCACACAGTGCACTAGTGTAACCAATCAGTCAAGACATATTGTACAGTCAACACTACAACGTTCACGATGGGTTGTTCACTTCCGTCTAGGTTGTGAATTGTATTATTTATGTTTTGCAAGTACCTATGATGTGATCTTCTATCTCATCCATGATGGACAATAATATCCAAATATAAAACATCAAAACATAAGACAGTTTAACTAAACATGATTCTCATTCAAAAAATATATAATAAATATAGCATTTTTACGCAAAAAACCAAGTTTTAATTATATACACTAACATTTTCATGTTATGGTCAAGAAACTCGCATAAAAGGGATCAACACAATCAAACTAGCTAGCTGTTAAGACACTGTTTGTTATGTTTTTGTGTGTTTTTCTTGTGTTTTATTTGCTTGAGTCGAGTCTTTTTAGGTTTGGTTTGTGTGTCCCGGTCCATTTTTGTTTGTTTTTAGTAGTTTTTAGTTTTTAAGTCGTGTTCGTATATTTTCCTATCTCTTTTGTGCGTTTTGGTGTTTTTGTAGGTTCGAAAAGAAGATGTAGTCATTTCGTGATGTGCCGTCTCGAGTGTTAATTCATTTTGCGTGCATCTCATATCGAGGAGGAAAAGATTTGAGGAGTGTGAGTCGAAGTTTCGAGTCGATCGGAGGTCCGTGCGATGAATTAGAAGCCTTAGAAGTCGAACCAAAGTCACCGAGGCAAAAATTCGCGAGC